TATATATATATATATATAATGGTATATTTCCATTGTTCGTAAACACTAGTTCGATAGTATCTTATTATATTTATCAAGTCTTTTATTATAAGTTTAGTAGTGCTCGGTCTTACACCAAGCGCTCGTACTGAGTTGTGCTCGGTCTTACACCAAGCGCTCGTACTCGTTTCTTGTATAATCTATCTTGATGAAAATAGCGTTCGTTTAACTTCAATAGAATTTTATTCTCTACCGTGCTCGGTCATTTACTGGCATTCGGATTTCTTGATGTAAAATCAAATAAGTTAAATATTCATAAGCGTTCGGTTTCTTCATGAGAATTCTTCTAAGTATTATTGTTGGAATATCTTGAAGTGTCTGTATCGATTGGTTCCAGCCTAGAGTCGTAGCCTTTGGCGAGGTCTTTTCAGCGTTCGGTCAGAGTTATCAAGAGTCGGTTCATATAATTGATTCACTTTGTAATGAACGTTCGGTTCATTCGTTCCTTGCTATATCTATTACACTCGGTTCTCTCTCAAACTGACAGTAAACCTCTCGGTCTTATTCTATTCTGGAACTGGAGACCTATCTGTCTCGTCTCAAGTGTTCGTCCTCGTTCTGAGTGAGGATTTACGTTCGGTCTGGCGTCTTTATAAAATTTTGATCAAATAGGAAATTGAAATGGTTGAAAGTGAAAGATGAAACTAAAATGATTGGTAATGAAAGACAAACTTGAGATGATTGATAAAGAAGGATGAAGAAAATATGAGATGAATAGAATGTTGTGGATTTGTACGAGCGTTCCAGGGAGGAACGACTCAGGATTGAGAATTGAGATTTGTAAAGTATGATTGTGGTTATGCTAGTGCTGGCAGTTCATCCTGATGTTTCGTGAGTACTCGTCCTCACGTAGAGGAGGGTAGGTCATGTGTGGAAACGGCAGGAGATCCCGTCCCTAGGGGTACTTTGGATGAATAGGATTAACCTCGGGTGGCAACTGATGAGAGTATTCCAGTTACTACATCACCCGGGTGCATGAACGCCTATAGCTACACAGATTTCATACAGTCCGGACAGTCAGTCTAGTACTAGGCTTCGTATGATATGTATGATGAAATGTACTTTGTTTTGTTGGATTGTTTGGAATGTATGTTTATGCATAATTAAATTACATAAGCTTACCCTGCGTTTCCTGTCATGTCTGATTTTGTACATCCGTCCTTGTCATTGCAATGATCATCCGTGTAGATGTGAGCAGAAGGAGGCGAGCTGCTGGAAGAAGCGCTGGAAGAAGAAAATTTGGAAGAAATTGATGTAAAGACCGAACAGTAGGACGTTCGGTCAATAATCTTGTTAGTAAGGTGGTCGTTCGATCACCTTCCTTTTTGTTAGGTATGATCGTTCGATATTTCTCTTTTGTAAACCGTCCGGTCATGATTTCTTTTACCTTGAGCAGTTTAGTTGAAAGTCTTTTTGTAAGGTCGTTCGGCCATGAGCGTACGCTCGACTCTAGTGTAAGACTGATTTTAGATTATTATTAATGTGATTATCCTAATTATAGATTATTGCTGTATTTTTGGATGTTACACTATTTTTCTTTTTTCTCAAATAAATTGCATCAATATTTTCTTTTAGTAGATAAAAATAATATATATGGAGGGAGTGAGGTTATGTAAATAACATTTAAAAAATAAAGTTTGATTATTTTGAGACATAATTAATAACAAATTTTGTCCAAAATATTTATATTTCAATATTTTTGAATGTTAATTATATATAGCCAGTACTATCAATACTTTAATAAAAGAAACATGTTTAAAGAAGATAAATTATACTATACATGTACTTCTTTAAATAATACAATTTTGATACCTTTTTTCATATCACAGTAATAAAATTATGAATTTATAATAAATTATAATAGAAATATATAATAGTTTCGTTTATTTCTTAAAATACAAGTAATTGTCATGTTGGTTGACAAAATGAGTTTAAATTATTAAAATAAAAATGGATGTATAATTGTGGGTTTGATTGATTTAAGAGAATATATAGATATATATCTAATCTTATATATATATCTATCTATGCTATCTATATATATATATATTAACTCAAATTGGTGTATAACTATTTTACTAAGTTCCTAAATCATTTTTAACTTTTTAAGTATGTTTTAAATTAAAAAAAAAATCATTAATTCGACCATTTCACGACATTTTTTATTTTTAAATTCAAAAACTTTATAATTCATTTTTTTTAAATTTAACATCTTTTTTTCTCAACCTAAAAAAATAAACTAATCATGTTCCAAAAAATTACTAAAAAATGAATTATAACCTACAATAGAATTGTAAAAAAAATTAATTTAAATTTATTTTTTAAATTACAAATAATAATAATATTTTTATTAGTATTTTTAAAATCAAAGAATAATATATCCACATAATTACAACATCAACCAATCAAAAACGGCTTTTAAAACAGTAATGTTACTTTTTGGCCTTTTTTAAAAAACTTTTATCAAAAAACCGTCTAAAAAACCTTCCCCCCCTAAACGTCATATTAGAAAGACGTCATTTGACGTCTCGAAGACAAAATCGATTTTGCACGAGGAGGAGGTTGAAGCTGAAATGTGGGAAAGGCACAAATATTGTTTGGCCCAAAATCTCCTTGAACAAGCACTTCATTATTTACCAGAGATTGGACAAAATAATGAGTAGCATGAAATTCAAAGTAATCATAATTTGCCTTAGCAAATTTACTAAGTATTTGGATTTTTATTTATAGTAGGAAAATGCAGTAATCGATGAAGAGCTAAAGAAACTTAAAATTTTGTGTAGCAGAAAAAAGAAGAACCAAAAGATTGAATAGGTAATCCTTGAGCATTACTGATATGGATATGTTCAGAACCTTCATTAGGAATACATTGTTGAATATTCTTGTTTTCTGTAATATCATGAAAAAAAGGCCTATAATCATGGTACTAATTAGAACTAGAATGAGGAACAAGGGGGTTGGCAGCCAACTAACATCAGTGTTGGTTACCATAGCAGAAGGAGGATGTTGTGAACTGGAAAGATGAGATGAGGGATGATGATAGTTGGATGGTGAGTACTGAAGAGGTGGAGCAAAAATTTGTTGTAGTTGATTGAATGGATAAAAATATCATTGACCAAAATCCCTGAGCATTATAGTAAAAACTACTTTTTGAATGGAGGGTTTAAACTGTCTTGTAATAACAAAAAGCAACACTGCCCATTCTTCAAGCATATCTGACGCTGAACATTAGCAAAAGCCTCTCTGTGGTCATGCAGACATCCTCTAACGAACCTTGTATGTGACTACTAGATAGCATTACTATTGCCTCTAATCTTGTCTTTCATAAGAGGACCAAACATATTTTTGTAGATTTGTCATTTCATAAGAGAAAAGCTAGAGTCTAAGAGACATCACTAGATTTGTCAACTTCAGTGAAAAATTGACAAACATATTCACCAAATCTTTGAGAGGACGAGGATCAATCATATTTGCAGCAAACTTAACACATAACATATATGCTCTAGTTTGAAGGGGACTCTTATAATGATAGAAATAAGACACATTGTTTACAACTAAGAATATTTTTTGTAGTTGTTAGAATTGGAAATATCTAGAGCATATATGTATCATTAGGAATTTTTTTTACTTATTTCTATATCATATCTTTATTATTAGATGATACCTTATTTTCTCTATATACTGTATTGAGTCTGTTTTCTTAACATAAGGTGTGCTTTGTAAGGAACACAGTTTCAACTCAATGTATCTCTATGTCCAATAGTATGTTGGACATTATGTTACCCACTATTGCCCCGTCATTGGACCATCTATTAATATATTGCTAAATTCAATGTTGTAAGCGAATGTAAACCTCATTTTACAAGCTAGTTATATGAGATTCAGTGAAGTCTAAATCCACTTTCTAAGATTCTAAATGTCATACCCAGTTTTTTCTGTTTGAATTTTTTTTTTCAATATGTTTGGGTCTTGATTTGATTTTCTCTTGTAATTTATAAGTTAACATGATCGATTTTATTTTCTAGGGTACCCAACTATATGATCCAAAAGCCGGGGGTTGGCGAGACCTTGGTATGCTTGATGTTATGCAGGTAAGGCATGCAGTTTCTTGTTGAATGGAAATGTCAACTGTTTATATGGTCCAAGAAATGTTTTTTATTTTTCACTTTTAGTTACCAAAATGCTAACTTATTTTTGTTTTGTGATACCATTTTGTTTCCTGTTTTTAGAAGTTTGTACAGGAAACTAATTGAAGCACGTTAGACACCTAACAGATACAATGAAAATAACTTTTCTCCGTTTCATTGTTATTCGGAAAATAATATATTTTTGAACTGATAGGAAAAACAGGATAATTTTCTTGAAGCTGACAGCCCATTGTTTTTTATAAACTAAGTGGCTTTTTCTATGAAATTTTGATGTAGATATTTGGGCGAGCTGGGAGACCTCAGTTTGACAAAAGTGGTGAAGGTATTATAATTACGTCACATGACAAACTAGCTTATTATCTGCGACTGTTGACAAGCCAACTCCCGATTGAAAGCCAGGTAATAATAACATGTTCATTTTTGTTCTTTGAATCTTTGTTTGCATACCATGCATCAGATTTTCTTTATGTATTTCATATTGTGTTGAGTGGTTTCTTTGATCTTATGCAGTTCATTAGCTCCTTGAAAGATAATTTAAATGCAGAGGTGGCATTGGGTACTGTAACTAATGTTAAGGAAGCCTGTGCTTGGCTGGGCTATACTTATCTTTTTATAAGGATGAAGATGAATCCTTTAGCCTATGGTATTGGGTGGGACGAGGTACCAAACTACAAACTTTTCCTTTATTGAACCAGTTATATGATGCATTTGTATGCTTTTGGCTTGTTTATGTTTGATGTATGTTTTCACTGAACTAACCTCCTATGTAAAAGGTGTATGGTAGGAAGCAAAGGGTAGGGGTAATGCAATGGAATATGAACCTAATTGTGTTAACATCAACTTTATAACTGGCTGTTAACTGAATACCAACTGGTTAGATAGATATATGGCAGGAGGCTTCGTTTGAGAAAGGCAGTTTTTTGTTATTCTTCTATAATTCCTTTGCCCAGCCCAGCCCTGGTACTGTATTGGATTCATTCAAATTCAGGGAGAGGAGAGCTCCATCAATAGTAGTAACTTTCTTCAATCCATAAAAATCTAGAAATGTAAATGACAATTCTAGTTCTGACCTTAAATGTAGTTGTGTTATGAGGAGAATGTTCATCTCAAAGTACATGGTTCTCTGTAAGAAATAGGTACCATATAAACCACAATTACATGTTTCTTATTCCACAGAATAAAGAAATAAGAACATATACCAAAAATAAATAACTTGTATTTAATTTTTTGATATGCTGTAACTTCGAAGTCCACACTTTTTTTTGTTTGCATATTCTACAAAAAGAATGAGAATATTGCTAATTTTCTGTGTTCCACACATTTTTTATAATGAAGTGTGCCTGCAAATCATTTTGAAAATAATTTCAGTAATTAGCTATATGTATTTAAAGGTTTTCTATTGATAATTTTTTTATTTACTGTATGGAGTAAGACAGGTGATTTCTTAATCTTATATTCTTTAGGTGATGGCGGATCCTGCTCTTAGTTCTAAGCAGAGGTCTCTTGTAATTGATGCTGCACGTGCCCTTGATAAAGCAAAAATGATGCGTTTTGATGAGAAAAGTGGCAATTTTTATTGTACTGAGCTTGGTCGCATTGCAAGCCATTTTTACATTCAATATTCCAGTGTAGAAACATACAATGAAATGCTGAGACGGCACATGAATGACAGTGAGGTAGGGCAAGTGTTCTGTCAATTACTATATCAAAGGGTGATAGCTTATACCTGAACCTGCCTCTTGTTTTCAATAATTTTCTCAACTTTTTCCCTAAAAAAGGTGTTTTCCTACAATAAAATTTATTGTTCATTTTTATATGCTTTTTTCCCAGAAGATTAGGGAAGCTGTGTATTTTGGTGGTTAGTCATCTAATGTATCTTTATATCTTCTTTGCCATAAGCCTATGAAAACATGCATCCATTCTATTGACATTTATAAATTATTATTATCAGTATTTGTTTTTTATGTTCTTTTTACCTTTTGTCACTCTAGGTGATTAACATGATTGCACATTCTTCTGAATTTGAAAATATTGCTGTTCGAGAAGAAGAACAAAATGAGCTAGAGATGTTGGCGCGCACATCATGTCCATTGGAAATCAAGGGTGGTCCTTCCAATAAACATGGAAAAATTTCCATTTTGATTCAGGTTTTGTTCTTGAGTTTGACTCAATTTTCCAGTTAGGATACCTGAGTAAATGAATGAATAAGATATGGCTTTGTTGTTTGCAGTTGTACATATCTCGAGGTTCTATGGATTCTTTTTCTTTGGTATCTGATGCTGCATATATTAGTGCAAGCTTGGCTCGAATAACACGGGCGTTATTTGAGATTTGTTTACGAAGAGGCTGGTGTGAGATGACTCTGTTCATGTTGGAATATAGCAAAGCTGTGGATCGTCAAGTTTGGCCACATCAACATCCTCTTAGACAATTTGACAAGGACCTTTCTGCAGAAGTTTGCTCTTAACTATTGTTTTCCCTAAATTTTCTAGTTATATAATATTTCATATTGGTGTGTGATAGTATTTTTTGGTTCATAGATATTGAGAAAGCTTGAAGAGCGTGGGGCTGACCTAGATCGCCTGTTTGAGATGGAGGAAAAAGACATTGGGGCATTAATTCGGTATGCACCAGGAGGAAGGGTATGTACCTTTTAGTAGAATAATGTTGAAAAGTTTCTTTCAGAAGTTGGTTCAGATGTTCAAGAAATTTTGATTATTATTTTCTTACTCCTTCACCTTTTTAGTTGGTCAAGCAAAACCTAGGGTATTTTCCATCACTTCAATTATCAGCAACTGTGAGTCCAATTACAAGAACTGTGCTGAAGGTATTTTACAGCTATGAATACCTAGCGAGACGGCTTAGTTTCACATTTTTTTCATTAATTTCATCTTATAAAATAGTCTTGACATCCAATTCTACACAATCACTCGTTATTTTCAGGTTGATTTGGTCATTACGCCTGTTTTCACTTGGAAAGATCGTTTTCATGGTACTGCTCAACGTTGGTGGATTTTGGTTGAGGTGAAATAAATTTTTCTATGATGATGCAGCACTCTGTAAATTCCTTGTTTTTTGTTAAAAAATCTGAACACTTGTTATGGAGGAGAAATTTATTTGACTGAAGAGAGCATTTTTGAAAGAGAAAGAGGATGAGTAATAGTCCCATACAAAGGAACAAAAGAGAAAACAATGAGGAATATAGAGTTAAGCAGATAACAAATCTTCCGAGTTTCTTATAGTGAAGCACCCTCTAAACTAATTCAGCTGATTTGCCAAACAAACCTCCTAAACTCTTAATCCTAAACCCTAAACCTTAAATCCTAAGAGCACGCACAACAGTCACTGAAAATGCCGAATAACTATAAATAGACTACAGCACAACAATGTAAGAGTAGTTGGAAAACATTCTGAGCAAGTAGCACACATAATCACATACCACAAGGTGGAGCTTTATAATGCCTATACAGCTGTTCCAAGTATTGGTTTTATTAAATTCCACTGTGCAAAGATAAGATAAGGCCAAAAGGGAGCTTTTGAATTTCTCTAACACGTTAATAAGATAAAAAATTTACTCTTCAATGAATGAGTAAGGAATTAAAAATGACTTATTAAAAAATTGCACTAGAAGGTTCAAGGGGCCTAATCCTTTTATATGGGTGAGAAGAGAGGTGAATGACATCAAGGAATGCCTGTAAGGGAGTCATTCCTAGTTTAAAATACATGAAAACCTACATAAAAATTCATCTTGATTAGTTATTTTTAAATGTTTTATTTTATCCACCCTATGTATTGAAGTTAATTTTTTGGTTTGCATTATCTGACGTGTTAGACTTGTTCATTTGTTAGAAGTTGTTCTTGTCTCTGAATCATCTTAGCTTATGCTGTTCTGTTTAACCTATACTGTTAACGTAAGTACTTTGGCATATGAAACGTCTAATGTATGATTGAAGAATGCTAGTACATTCTTAGAAAGTTTGTTTGGCCTTAATTTAGTCTTACAAAACTGGTTTATGAGATGAGAGATGTTTCCCATTTATATATTTTGATTTGATCTCATATCCAGTTGATGAGAAACTAAACAACAACCTCTGAAGTTACAATTGTCAACTTTAAAAATCATTGCAATTAAGGCAGGCTAGGGTGACCCCAATTAAGGTGGCTTTCCAGTATCTAGTGATGATAGATTGTGTAATGTTGCTTTCTCATCTGGACATCAACTTACCCAACAAACTTTTAACTAGTTATGTTTTGATACTTGTTAACTCCAAATGCATGCATGATCAACCATTTCAAGCAGGATTCTGAGAATGATCACATCTACCACTCGGAACTCTTTACGCTGACAAAACGGATGGCTAGAGCCGAACCTTACAAGCTTTCCTTCACTGTACCTATATTTGAACCACATCCACCGCAATATTATATCCATGCTGTTTCTGATTCATGGCTTCATGCTGAGGCATTCTACACTATTACTTTTCACAATTTACCATTGCCAGAGGTATTACAGTGTTCATTTCCTTCTTTTTCTTTTTTCTATTCTAGATCTATTTCTTGGCAACTGATCCTGGCTGTTTGTTATCACTTGTAAATATCGTTTTTTAGGCTCGTACATCTCATACAGAACTCCTTGATTTAAAACCTCTCCCTGTGTCTTCTCTCGGCAACAATGCTTATGAAGGATTGTATAAATTTTCACATTTTAATCCGATACAAACACAGGTATGTTTTATTTTCCATACTGCAAAGTTTGTTAGGTTATGCACTGTGGGCTTAAATACATAAAGAACATATTAAGACTGTTCTGTTACGTCTTTATTGGACTTGGACAGAGTTTTCATACCTTGTATCACACGGACAATAATGTTCTGTTAGGAGCTCCAACTGGAAGTGGAAAAACTATATCTGCTGAGCTTGCTATGCTTCGTCTTTTCAATACTCAGCCTGATATGAAGGTTTGTACTCAAATTTGTTAATGCATTTTTAGAAAGAGCATGGACCTAAGGTGCTTGCTCTTGGTAGCAACTTAAGGTGCTTACTTATGTACTGTCTTGAGACAAAGTGAACGAATAGCAAACATTGTACATTATGTTTATTAATTTGTAGAAATAAATGTCGAACTTTGTTTATACATTGTTTAAATTTTTCACTATTGATAATCTTTGATATTTTCATTAAGAAATACATTATCTTATGAAGTGTATGACCTACTTTGCTGCTTTAACAAACAGGTTATTTATATAGCTCCTTTGAAAGCAATAGTCAGGGAAAGAATGAGTGATTGGCAAAAGCGTCTTGTCTCTCAACTAAGGAAAAAAATGGTACTAATGTTTTTAAGGAGAAAAAAATGAATAAAATGTACACGGTGCTGGTGGTAATGATATCACGTTTTTCATCAGGTTGAAATGACTGGAGACTATACTCCTGATTTGATGGCTCTTTTGTCAGCTGATATCATCATATCTACTCCTGAAAAGTGGGATGGAATTAGTCGTAATTGGCATACCCGTAGTTATGTCACGAAGGTGGAATCCAATTATATGACTTCAAAGTATGTGGATGTGTATTTTAGGAAATTTTTTATTTTATCTTTGCTGTAATTTTATGCTTTATAACACATATTGCTATTAATACTAGGTTTATGTATTTAAGAACAATCTCGTTATCAAAGGGATTTGTCACTTTAGATTTAGCTGTCCATATTTCCTAAGAGAACCACCCATGGGTTCATGTATTTATAGGTCCAATGACCCCATAATTGATACAATAAAGTAGAATATTATTCCTTCTAAACTTGAAATGGTATAAGAGCTCCTAATCTTTGGGAGCCTTTAACCGTAACCCTAGAAAACAACCTTCATTGCTGCACTACATTGACTCCTATCACATACTTAATTGCAGAATGTTCATTTCGCTTCTTGGTTAAATGGGAAGAATTATTTCAAATCATCTCAACTCAACTCATTGGGACTATCTTGAAAGGAAAGGGAAAGGTCAATCACCTGACTGAGAATGCCCCTTACGAAAATGATGCCAAGTTGAAATGAAGAGATGAAGAAGACTCCACGGTCATGGCATGGCTATGGAATTCAATGGTCTTGCAAATCAGTGATACCTGCATGCTTCTTAATTCAGCAAAGGAGGTTATTCGTACAGTGGAACAAACCTGTTCTAAGTCCAAGGATGCTACTCAAATCTATGATGTAAAGATGAAAACTATGGCTGTCAAACGGGAAAACAAACCAGTTCCAGTAAAATCAAATCTATGTGGATGGAATTGGACTGTTACCATGTTATAGAAACAAAGTGTTCATAGGACTCAACAATTCTTAGGGAGTAAATTGAACAAGATGGAGTCTATGATTTTTTGGTAGGCCTATATCCATAATATGATCAGGTCCTGCAACAAGCTGCGCCATACATGGAAGAAGTGCTGGAAATTACATGAAAAATCCCCAAGCTGAGAATGGGAGCAAAAAGAAAATTCTCATAAAAGGGAAGGGCAAGGTCAAACACACATTGTTAATAGACAAGGTGAAAAATCTGTGCCTGCCCAGCTGGATACTGAAGAGATACAGGGTGAGATGTTTCCTTAGTAAATTGGAGAAGCCCACATGTATTATCTCCATAACATATTCTGATAGATTTTCATTTTCTTTTGGTTTTAATGTGGTGTCAAAAACATTTTGTGTCAAGGGATGTTACCTTTAATGAGTAAGAGCGCTACTTTGAAGAGCCTCATCTTCAGGTGGAGAATGTAAGAGATGAAGTTGGGTCTTTTGGGCTGCTGAATAGGGCATTTGTACCTGAAACTGAGAAAATAACAGAACCTGCAATTGAACCTCTTGAACTGGAAGCAAGATCTGCACTTGAACCTGCTGAACTAGCAGCGGGACCTGCACCTAAACCTGTATCTAATGAGAGTGGGAAATTTAGGAAAAGTTGGGTTTTTTCAAGGTGAGGATAGGGCATTCCACAATCTGTCTAGTCTAAGAACTCAACCCTCCATCATTACATGAGGTAACTCTTTCTAATCCTATAAATTTCAATAACTCGAATGAGTTCGTCTCTGAAAATTTAGAAGCATGGGTGAACCAAAATCTGGACCTTCCCATTTCCCTTGGAAAGGGAACAAGAGCAGGCATCCAGCAAACACTTCAACTTCAACTTAATTTTCTATCCTTTGAAAAATTCTCTCCTACACATAAAACCTTTCTCACACCTAAACTCTACGACTACACCTTCCTTTGTATCTGAAGTATTATCTAACAGGATATGGAAATAAGAATATGACTTTGGAACTTGTCACCTAACCAACTTGAAAAAAACCAGTAGGGTCCAAGTGGGTATATGCAGTAAGGTATCATACTGAAGGAACCATTAAATGTTACATGGCAAGGTTAGTGGCCAAAAGACTCACTCAAACCCATGGAATGGATTAGTTGGAGACATTTTCCTTGGTTGCTAACATGCAATTCAAAGTAATATTGTCATTAGCAACAAATCATGATTGGGAGCTCTAGGAGTTCAATGTGAGGAATGTATTCTTACATGGAGACCTTGAAGAAGTACATGGGTTGCCATCGGCTTATGAAGGATATGTTGTTAGCGGAACTTTTTGCAAGCTAAGACGTGATTTATATGGGCTAAAAGAATCCTCAAGAACATGGTTTGGAAGGTTCACCAGAGTTATGACAAGTTTGGGCAAAGTTAAGGGAAGCACACTTTATTTATCAAACATTCAAGTTGAAGGGGAGTAACAATATTATTGGTATATGTAGATGAATTATAATACTTGATGATGACAAAAAGGAAAAACAAATGTTAATTCAATGCCTTGCCACAAAATTTTAGATTAAGACAATAGTGAGACTCAAATGATTTTTAGGGAAGGAATCTACAAATCTCAACATCAGTACATTATAGGCTTGCTTAAAACAATAGGTAAGTCAGACTGTGGACCAGCTAGTACTCCCATTGATCCAAATATAAAGTTGGGAAGTGCAGAGGAGGATATTGCCATGGTCAAGGAAATGTATTGAAGACAAGTAGGTAGGCTTACTTACTTATGACTAGACCAGACATTGCTTTTGTTATGAGTCTAGTTAGTCAATTTATGCACCAACCAAAGCAAACACATTTACAAGTTGCTTTTAGAATTGTTTAGTATTTAAATAGGACTCCAGAAACAGGGTGTAAATCTTAAAGCATTTACCAATGCAGATTATGTAGGGTCAATTATGGACCGGTAATCCACTATTGAATATTTTATCTTCTTTGATGGAAACCTAGTGGCTTGGAAGAGCAAAAGACACACTGGAGTAGCTAGATCGAGTGCTTCTAGCCCTGACCCAAGGAATATGTGAACATCTATGATGGAAGATTATATTGGAAAACTTGAAGATAAATTGGAATGAACTTTTAGGTTATAATTTTACAATAGGTCTGCAATTAGTATTAGCCCATGACCCTATGAATTATGAGAGAATTGAACATACCAAATGAACAAAGATTTTATCAAGGAAAAGCTAGACAATAACTTTGAAAAATTATATTCAAGCTGGTAATGCAGAACACTTATTCATGAGGGGTTGTGTCAAAACAGTGGACCGTGGTGCTCATTGTGTATTTTAGAAGTCTTATATTTTATCCATATAATTTTATTCTTTATAATGGTCGTATCTCCCTATTTGGTTTATGTGTATAAAAACAATCTCATAATGACAAGAATTTGTCTCTTTACAATTAGCTATCCATATTTTCTAAAATAACCAGTAGGTTCATGTATTTATAGGGGCAATGACCTCATAATTGATAGAATAAAGTTGAATATTGTTCCTCCTAATTTTGAGAAATACTAATGGTATGCTAGGAATATAATTTGAATTATGTTATTAATTAAAATAGCTAACTTAACCACTTTTGTTTGTATTGATGAATTTGTTCCTTGTTTCTTATATATAGATTCAGTGGTAATATTATTAATCTAACTATATTAATGTTGAAGTCATCTACTTCACGTATTAATCCTGATGCAAATGATCAATAGGTTGGACTTATGATTTTGGATGAGATTCACTTATTGGGAGCAGATCGTGGGCCAATCCTTGAGGTATATGCTTATGAATGGTGGCAATATACTAGTGACTACATTTTTTTTATCTTATTTCTTTATAGCATATTGGGTATTGTGAATTCTTTATTAAAATTGGAGATGGTGATTTTGAGCAATATTTTTGTTTTGGACATGGAAATTTCTGTGTCTAGGTTATTGTATCTAGGATGAGGTATATATCATCCCAAACAGAGCGACCAGTAAGATTTATTGGCCTTTCTACAGCACTGGCTAATGCTGGGTAAGTTTACTTTCTCTCCACTCTTATGAAAATTTAAGTTCAATATAAATAATTTTGGTTTTCCATTTTCTTAATTTCTATGCCACTAATTTCTGTATATAATCTTGTGCTCTCCACTCTCCTTTAATATGTTACTGTTTTTCCATGTGCACTAATGATTTTCTAGTGAGTGACTTGGTATGTGTAAATGTAGAGAGAGAAAGAGCACAGGAAAGGAGTTTTTTTGTATTAACTTATATTTCCTTGTTTAATCTCTATATGTAGTGATCTAGCTGACTGGTTAGGCGTTGAGGAACTTGGACTCTTCAATTTCAAGCCAAGTGTAAGGCCTGTACCCCTGGAAGTTCATATTCAGGTATGTGGATTTGGTATTTCAGATAGATAACAGCTTAACTTGTTTGTTTCTTTGTCTATCTATTATTATAAATTTCGTGTGATTAGTAGAAAGTGTGAATGAGGGTAATAGAGGAATAGAAATTTGATACGCATGTCAATGTTTCCATATGCAAAAACTCCACACCTGTTTTCTCCTATTAAGCAAACCCCTACTGTTGCATAATCAAAATAAATTTTTTTAAAAATGTTAACATTTTGGTTTTCTTGTAGGGTTATCCTGGAAAGTATTATTGCCCAAGGATGAACAGCATGAATAAACCAGCATATGCTGCAATATGCACACATTCACCTGCAAAACCAGTTCTTATATTTGTCTCATCCCGACGCCAGACGAGACTTACTGCACTTGACCTAATTCAGGTGCAGATTCAATCTCATGTGAGAAATAATATTTATTCCATTATGGATTGCTGTTATTAATCTTTCTTCTTTGTGATTCAAGTTTGCTGCGTCGGATGAACAGTCAAGACAGTTTCTTAATTTGCCTGAGGAAACCCTGCAGATGGTTCTGTCTCAAGTCTCTGACCAAAACCTTAGGCATACTTTGCAATTTGGCATTGGATTACATCATGCTGGTCTGAATGACAAAGACAGATCACTGGTTGAGGAACTCTTTGGAAACAACAAAATTCAGGTATACTTTTGTTGCCTTAAAAATTGACATTTGTCATTTCTTATATTGAGAAAAAGAAATTGAAAGCTACATTATTTTTACTTGCCTATAACTGGTTAATTTTATAATATTGTGCAGATATTAGTTTGTACCAGCACATTGGCTTGGGGTGTGAATCTTCCAGCTCATCTTGTGATTATCAAGGTGATATTTCTGTAGGTGTTTCCTTTTATGCTATTTTGTTGGCAATCGTTTGATGTTGTCTTTTCTAGTGTCAAGCCTGTTTGGTTTTCATTTATGGGATTGTTAACTACTTATCATTCATGCATGTTCTAGCTGCTGTCACTTTGCTTTGAATTATAATTGGATTTTGATACGAGGTTTTATTTCCTGAAAAGCTTTTCCTTGAGTGGTGTTCAAATATCCAATGGCATTTCTAAGAGAATGGCTAATATAATTCTTCTAAATTAAAAATATAAAGTACACATTTCTGATTGTTAGGTATATTATTGGATTATATAGAGATATAATTTGATTATGTTTGGCATATGATTTGATTTCATTAAATGAGAAGATGCAATTTTGATTTGATATGGAAATATCTTACCTAACATTTCCCGTTATTATTGTATCTCCTTTATTGTACATAAGAATACTCATGCATGTACACAACCTACAAAATTCAGTATATTCTTAATTTTCTCTGATCTCACCATGGTACCAGAGTGGTACCATCCGGTTTGATCTGTCTTTTCATTTATCCTTTTAACATGGTATCAAAAGCTTAAGGAGAAGAAGGCTCAAATTCATGGTTTTCCTATGGGTCCAACTGTCATAGGAGTAAAAATTTTAGATTCTGTTTTCAGTTTTTTTCCTTGCCACACTGTTCATGTTGAGACACTATTCACCTATGCTGTCATAGTTGACTGCCGACAACATTTTGAGAAACCTTTTCTAGACAGTGTAACTGTTTCATCGTTGATGACACTTTTTAATGAGCTTTTTTCCAGCTAGTGTTATTGTTTAACGCTGCTGTTATTTTGGTGATACAACTGGTGTTATTGTTCATCACCAACATTATCTGTCTGTTTTCCTTTTTTCGTTGAGCTTTTTCCACTTGGCAACCACCTTGTTATTCAATGGCCATTTATTGTTTTCGTCAGCCTCCTAGTGGTTCTCTTCCTTGTTGATGACCATCTGTGCTCTCCGACAGTGTTTTAGCGGTTTTCTTCCTAGTGTCCTTGTTATTCAATGGCCATTTTTTGCATTCCTGCAGTGGCTGTATCATTTGAACATTTTGTTCTTTTAATGTGAAGCTTGTATCCATTTATATACTATAATTTGATCATATTTTTAATCGATATGTTATGATCCAACTTGTGGAGTGTTAGAGATATGATTTTGATTTTGTCATAGATATGCTTTGATTATGTTAAATAGGGAGATGTGATATGATTTGATAGCAGTGTTATCTGAAAATCCCATTATGATGGCAGAACCCCATGGTCGGGAAAATTGGGTGCAATT